TTTTTTTTTTTCAGTAAATGAGTAAAACTGGTCTTTTAAGCCGTACAGAAAAGAAAAAAATGCACAAATTTTCAGATCATCAGAGCTTCTTTCTGGACAATTTCAGACTGAAGGTTTTGACATGGTGCAGTACAGAAACCACTTTTTTCAACCCTTAACAAGAAGACAGTTTAGCTGACTATTAAAGACTGCTAAGTTGCTTTTCTCACAGAGAGAAAAATATGCCTTATGGTCTTTGCTGTGTAAGTAAAGCGTAACCTGAAATAACCTGAAACACCAACTACTCAAGGAAAAGATGGTCTACAGTATAATTTGTTTGCATCAAGCAACTAGTTTCTAAAATTTACTATAAACCTTTTTAAAGCGTGTAGAGAAAAAAACGGAGCAATATAAAATGCCTTTTTTTGTTCAACAACCCTACTGACCAATTTGATGAAATTGCGTCAACAGAATTTCCGTCTTACAAAAAAATTGGAAAGCCGCTCCTGACTTTTCAGTTTTTGGCATGGCTTAACTCACCGCCTTCATCTTTGGCACGAACGTTTAACAACAAGAACAAAAATGATCTTGCAGTTCTGCTTATTCTTTCCTAAGTCAGCGGTCATTCTCTGCCGCACTTGCAAAAGCGGAAAAACCTAGCTTCTACACTGAAATTACTTTTTTTTTTTTAAATAATGAATTAGCAAATCCTGGAGGCACTAAGTCACGCTTGCGATTAGTACTTAATTTACACGGTCAATTATTTAACTAACAGACACTGTTCACTTGTTTTCATTTTTTATTCAAATCTGTCTACATTTCTTACAAGCTGCAGTCATAATACTTTTAAAAAGTATCTAACTTTTGGCGCAGCTAGAACCTAAGTGCAGAAAAACAAAAATTTTGCCCCTAACGACAGAAACTGTTCACACTGTGAATAAAACCCATATAAATCCCAATAAACTTTGACCCGCCATCAAAGTATAAAAAATTATCCTTTAATCTATCTGCCTTTAATTATCCTTCCGCATTATCTCTTAAAACCTTTAACATAAAATCGATTCTACCTTATGCCCTAATAGTTGCAAACAAAGAAAAACCAATCATGTCTGTGCCGGTAAAACAAACTCGATATGATAACTGGTACCGCTATAACCAGATACTGAAAACGATGCACGGACAAGTTTTTAATTATTCACACTTGTAGGTCATAAACAACAACATGCCGACGTTGTATTTAAAAAATCTTATAGAGAATCCAAAATGCGAAAAAAAAGTTAGCATAAACAGTGAAGAACCTCACAGAATTACTCATAGAACTCTCAGACGCGCTGACAAAAATGTTGCGTGTCTAATTCATTTATTCTCTCCTAAACTCATTTAAGTGGCTATCATCGGTCCAACACACATTCTCCTAGTACGAACTAAGGTAATACATGTTAAAAAGTAACAGGTGTACAAGACAGCTGTCAATTTAAGAACTTTTGAAGAAGATTTGAGAACTAAAAACAACGTGGAGTAATAGATATTAAGTTGTAGATATTTCTATTTTTAAGTAAGTAAAGTCACAAAAAACAGCAGAAGTAAATCAGCAGTACTAACTCGGATTTCTTAATTGCAAATAAACCAATTCAAAACTTAGCAATATTACTTTTGAAAAAGAGAAGTGAGGGAAAAAACACTCTGTCGCTCAACGACATTAGTAAGATCTAGTACTATCACTTCACAGTTTTATTAGTATCTAGTTCCTCCTATTGAATATCTGCAGCAAAAATTATGGCTCAATTTCAACGATCAAATCACCAGCAGTGACCCGCTCTTTTGCTGCGCAATATACTTTCTTAACTGTTCCAGCAATAGGACTATCAATAACCATCTCCATTTTCATAGCACTCAAAACAAATAACGGAGTCTTTGGTGAGACTTTATCGCCCTCCTTAACCTTTAGTTCCAAAATCTCACCAGGCATTGGTGCACCAATTGAACCGCGAACACCTGGTACAGCTCGTGGACGAGTAACAATTTCCTAGAAAGGATAAAGAAATGATAATTTGCTTAGGTTTACGCATCCAAATCTAACAGTTAGGAAATGATAGACTAACTAGAAGAAAATTAAAGCTCCGCCGCATTAACATTTTAATTAAGAATAAAAAGAAAAAACCTTTGATGCTTCTTTGTCCGGTACAATGATTGTCCTCATCTGCCCGTTCAAATTAAAGAAAACTTCTCTCTCACCGCGTGCGTTAAGCTTACCGACAGCCAATAACTGAATTAAAAGCGTCTTTCCCTTTTCAAGCGTAACTTCAGCTTCCTCCGCTACTTCCATGCCTAAACGAAAGCTATTGAAAACACCTATTCTGCGAAGCAAAGCTCGACTAAAATTAATGTAGCAGCTAAAGAGACAAACCTGTTAGGAATATTCGTGTGTCCAGTTTATCCACTGGTCCATACTGCTGACGAAATTGCTCAAACTCATCAAAAACTTGAGGAAACATTGCAGAGGTCATGACATCTACGTCCCTACAAATTCATCAACCATCTGTCAACAGTCACGAATTACAACCAGAAGATTTGAAATTATTACCGCAACTTTCTGCCGTGTTTTTCTTCAAGTTCCTTCTTAAGCTTTTCGAAATCGAGCGAAGGTAATTTCTCACCAGGCCGGCCGTCAAACTTGGGTTTACCACGTAAAGCCCTAGTCCTCAACGGCTCAGGAAAGCCGTAAGGCGGTTGACCAATCAAACCCTAAAGCGAAGTCATACTCATGTCTTCTCTGATTCAAGACCAGACCAGGAAAAAGCTTGAAACCATTCTTTTATTCATCAGGCGTTTGGATAGCTACTCGGCATAAGTTAGTTCCAACACTTCTCAGCATAAGCTTTATTTAACCAAATTCTTTTATTCCTTATTAAAAACTTGAAATGTGCACTTCACTCTCCGCGTTGCCTTAACCTCTAACTCATTCAAACTGTAAGACTAAAGTTTAAAGAACCAGCCCAAAGCTATGCACCTGGAAGAATTGGATAACGGATTTTGGAAATGAAAGTTCTTCCGCTCTATCGACCAAACTTTCACGAGTCAGTTTGTTTTGTACCATAAATTGAGCCAAATCTCCGACCACTTTTGACGACGGTGTTACCTAAATCACAGAAATTGAGATACAGTTGATCTTAAGAACTACCTAAATCACAGCAAATACAGACTCGTTAACCATTAGAGGCTTTACTCCAGTACTTAACAAAATAACCTTTATGAGATCTCCAAGTGCAAGATTAGCCTCTCGGTACATTTTCTTCACCTCATCAAACTTCTCTCCTAAGCCAAGCGAAAAAGCCTGAAAAAAACCTATTAAAGTACATTTTGACTTTGAAGCGGCTTTTAAGACGCCACCAGTAGTCAAACGTTGTCCCTTGAATTAACATGAAAACCCACTTGGAATTGAAGGTTAGTGTACTGACCACCTGGAATCTCATGCTTGTATACGTCAGCGTTCCCACTCTTCATAGTTATTGCACACTCAAATGGACCATAAAAACGTCGCGCAGTTTCCCAGTAAGAACTGTATCGAGAGATGCTTTCCATATCAAGCCCTATATAAAACCAATTCATAGAGGTATAATCATCATTTTAACTGAAAAAAGAATCCAGGAGTTGAAGAACATAAAAGAGGCTAGGAACCAGTGGATAGTGGAGTATTTTCAAGAGCAGCTACTATAGCTCCCATCGAAGGCTGACTAG